AAACTACGGCAAGACTGAGTCTCGCGTCAAACTCATTTACACTTTTACAAGTACCGAAATTTACAGGATGTATATTACAAGTCTTTGGACATCGTTCATTTAAATAAAAAGAAATAACCCATTTTTAAATTTTATTGCATTTAGCATAACAGAATTTGAGGAATTTTTAGTGAAAGCCACAAAGTTATATTTTAGAAAAAATAATTTAAAACCTTATTTTTTTGAGTAAATGGATCATCTCTCCTTGTCTCTCTCTCTCTTTGGAATGGAGTCGCCTGGTCTTCGACAGTGCTCCTTCTCTAAACAGGCGGTTTGGCGCCTTTAACACCTTAGGCCGCACGATGCAGTGAATCACAGAAATGCACTACCCACTGTAGCCATCGATGTAATATACCTTACAATGAAACATATAATTACATTTGCCAAAGCCAACGGGCATTCGGCGTCTTATTTACTAGATGTTTGACTGAGACAGATTCACAGAAGACATTTTGACTCTACGCATCGCAAGCAAACATTAATTTCATAGAAAATATCATTTCCTCCTTGGCACACAAGAGGAACTGCGGGATCCCCGGACAGTCTTTTGGCGGTTTCTATCGGCGAAAGTACGAGTAGCCGCAGTAGAGCATGATGGCGGTGGTGATGAACTTGGACTCGAGGCTGCCCTTGCTCATCAGCGGCAGCAGCAGCATCCTCAGCAGGCTGGTCCGGGGCGGCGACTCGGGACCGTCCACCGCGTCCACGGTCTGCAACACAAAACGAGGCACGCGACCATGAGCCACACGCCAAAAATGTGCAAATGGAGCAACCCGTCGCGGCGAATCGGACACGATTATCCACAGGCACCCCATAATTCACGGGCCAAGAAGGGTGTGCAAAAGAAACAATGTGGGGAGTAAGATGTCTCTATGAAGAGCATTTCATGCCACGATAAACAGCACCGCGGCGCGCTTTGGCATAGTGGGCCGCATTTACATAGCAGGTGAGGACCGCTAGGGCTGGGACCCCTTCCTCGCATAGAGCAGCCTCGCGTTTTGGCGAGCCGGCCCGCGACCCCCGTCCCCTCCATAGACCCCTCTCCCCCACCCCTCTCACTAGCGCCCATTCTCAAGAATTATTTGTCGCTTCCCTCTCCAGGGTCGTAAAACTGACCGCCGCCCACCCCTGATGCCGCCATCCTGGCGATCTTACCGGAAAGCGGCGGACGGGGACGCGAAGCGACTTCCCGCATTTCCCGCAGTTTGATCCCCGATCCCATATTTCCGAAACCGAGAAAAAAATGGGCGCGGTAAAAGTGAGACGTGTTGAATGGCCGCATTTCATCCACTGGTCAGCGCCGCAGCTGGTAGGTGTCGTAAACGGTGGCAATGCCGCCATCTGCGCGTTACGGCCGCTTTTATACAGTAGTCAGACTGTAGTCAGCGAGTAGGTCATGAATAAACCAGGGTGATCCTGGGTGCGCCGATCCATCGCTGGGCTAGTCGTCGCAGATCGCAGCAGGAAAACAATGGGAAACCGTACGATGAACAACCTTCGCATCTGCGAGCTATCCCAGGGACTGGCCCGGCAAACTCCCAGAAGTGCTTATGTCGCCCCAAATTTTATCACCTTTCTTCCCCCGCCCCGCCACTGCTAGCCACTGCACTGCAAGACACTGCAACGACCCCGGGCTTTTCCTTTCCTTTCTTCCGCCCAAAGGAGCGGAGATGTGATTTTCCGCGCGAGGGTATAAATGTGGCAGGGCGATACAGCCTCCCGGGCAGCCTCCCCTCGCCCGGCGCGCCCTCCCCTACAGCGTGCCCTGCTCTTCTTTCTCTCTCCCTTTATTGACCAGATTATAACCTCTCTCGGTCCACATGACTTAGGCCCGCGCAACTTCGTTGCGACGGTGGTCGTCGCAATGCTTCGGCGCCGCCGCCGAGAAAGAATACGAGTGATGGCCGCGACAAGGACACGTGATTAATTACAGTGCAGCGCGAAGTCATCCTTCCTCCGTGTGTGACAAGAGGGGCACTCTTAAGAAAAGGAAGCAAAGATAACACCCGTTATTTAAGAAGAAGAAAAAGGGCTTTCCGAGCCACACACCCCCTCGCGGTTTTTTTTATCATTTTTTTCTGGCTTCCATTCCGTCCCCTTGTCTATCTCTGTCCTGCTCTCTTTGGTTAAATGAGAAAAATGATGCATCAAAGAAAGCTAAGATCAAACTCGCACCAGAGCCTCGCGCGCGGGGGCTTAAAAAACCGTGCCTTTTACTCAAGCGAGCCACAGGGAGGGTTTTTTTTTCCTTCTTCCTCCGCAAGCGATTTCGCTTTTCTGATTTCTGTGAGTCTTCGCAATCGGCTTAGAGCGCCACGCCACGCGACGCCGGCGCGGCTCAGGCCGATGGCTTGGCTGGCTTTGGTGCTCCAAATTAACGGAGACATGATAAAGCCGAGGCGCCGAGGCGGCCAGGTTCAAAAAGCATTGTCGCGAATGTCCGACAGCGTCTGACAGAACGCGGCGCGCGTGGCACGGCACGGCACGGCACGGCACGGCCGCATAGATACAATTTGGCGGGAGTCCTGGGTTGGTTCCCTTCGGGAATGACACTTTGTCCGTCGCAGGCAACAAAGCGCTGCAGCGCCGCTCGACAAAGATCCTTTGGGGCGCCGCGACGCCGCGACGCCGCGACGCCTCCACTCCACTTCCTTTCCCCCGCTTTCCTCCTTTTACACTTTTTCTCCCTCTCGGTCCCCATCTCGCTCATTTTTCCGCACGTGTTCAGCGCGACTCCTCGTTCGCGGTCTCTTATCTCCCGGAATGGAAAGAGACCAGCCTTTGATTTATGTGTTGGCTTCCTTCGCTCGCCGTGACGAACGCCAGATCGAGACGAGAGCAATTATTGATATTCAATTAGAGCACCCCCCCCCCCCTTTTCCTTCGAGCCCACCTCTCTAGAAGAGAGAGGCCTTGTTTAATTTGTCACTCAGACAGCCGCAGATAAGAGAGAGGAAAGGGGGTGGGGGAAGTCTCCGAACCGAAATCATCATTTCTCATTGTATCTCGGCGTGTCACTTCCACGGCGCCACTCCAGAATATGCAAGTGGATGAAGACGATGATGAATACGCGAGATAGACTTTCACTCGCACTGCGGGTTTGTTTCCGCGTGACACCCAGTGTGTGATTTATGGTGCCGAATCTTGCATTTTCTAATGAATAACGATCTTTTTGGTATGAATGGAAAACGCGAAAGAAATCACAAAAAGAAATACACAAGAAAAATAGAGATACTGTTTTTGTTGTTTGAAATCTAACTTTTGGAATCGTCCCCGACTTTGCCCACCCACTCACTGCTGCACAGGAGGAGGATGAGGTATCTCTGGCGACGGATCTGGCCGGCCGGACGGAAGCAAAGCGCTGTGCGTTGTCATGGCAACGAGGCGGAAGGAAAAACAACAACAACAACGTGAACGGTAGCTGCTGCAGCAGGTTGCACATCGTTAGTTGCAGCTGGCCACACCTCGCCGCCTCGCTGCGCAGGATCAAGGTGAGGGGCAGGAGCGGAGATAAGAGGAGAGGGGAAGGGGGTCGCGGGGCAGCGGGGGCCGCGGGGGGCAGCGGGGGCCGCGGGGGCAGACACGCCCCCGACCTTGGCACGCACGCGGGGCAGTAAGGTGCGACACAACACTGGCTCTTAGTTAATAACGCGCTGGCCGGCCGAAGGGAAGAGAGGACATTGAAATCGCGGAGAGAAAGAGAGAGACGGAGGTAGAGAGATGCCCGCGGCTGTGTCATGGCGCGTCCTTGTGCGTGCGCGCGCTTTTATCGTCAAGGTGCTTGGACTCGGATGAATCGGGTCACGACGCCCGGCCGCGCGGAGACCGCCCAGATCATGTCCAGCTCGGGGACGCACGACATGCACAGTCAAGGAGCATTTAATTTTTCTCCCAAAAATTTTCATTTTTTTTTTTTTTTTTTAGCTACTTTTTAAACTGAGGATCAACTTTGTAACTGTTTGGAAAGTGATTGGTTTACTGTACTGCGCACCGGTTCGGCCTGCCAGTGCCGCCAGCGATAGGCACCTTATCTCGTCAAACAGCCCGGCAGCCCACTGGCAGCCCACTGGCAGCCAGGCCGTCTGTCTCAAGGCCAGACGTTTCGTCCACGGTGCACCGCGGTGTCCGCCGTTTCCCTATTGTTGCTGTTTGCCGATGCAGGGCCGGCACACTGGCCGGCGAAGTGCACACCAAAGCGTCTTTATCGCGCCACAAAAAAATGAGTAATTCATGAGTGCACCCGGAAAACAGTGGTTGCTCCACTGGCAAGCCGGGTCGGCCTGACGGCGTTGGCGCCGTTGGCGTGATGCGGTACTGCACAGTACTGCACAGTACTGCACCGCGTCGCGCTGACTGACCTTCGCGCTAAGGGAGCCGCGTCGGACGGCGTGGAATAATTGACAGGCAGTCGATGGCAGGCTGGCCTGGCCGGGCTGCGCATGGCCACGCGAGCCTCGGCGTGTCACAAAGACACTTAGCAGAGGTACTCACCGTCAGGGTTTTGTCGAAGCAGTCCGCCAGCTCGCGGAGGTTGTTCCCGATGCCGACCCACTGATCGTTCCTCGAGGCCACGGCGCCGGGGGCCACCACGTGCTTCATGGCCTTCTCCAGGTCGTCCTCGCGCTGCTGCATCCACTGCTGGCGGAGGCTGGGGGCGGCGCTGGGGGCAGCGTTGGGGGCGGGCGCGGCGACGGCGCACTTGGAGACGGCGGCCGCCAGCTCGGCGGCCAGGAATCGGGCGTCCGCCCCTTGAACCTTGCGGCCGGGGCGGCCGGGGCGGCCGGGGCGGCGTTTGGTGGCCGCCGGCGGGGAGGCTGCTTCGTGGGGGTGGCACCTCGCCGGCCCGCTCGCGAAGCAGGCGGAGCCTGAGGGTCTCCTGGGGGCGGGGCTAGGGGCGGCTTGAGTGGCAGCCATGGGGGCGGCCGCGGGGGCCACGCTGGGGGCGGCCTCGGGGGCGGGGTCTACCGCGTCCCGAACCACGTCGGGGAGGTTGTAGCAGCACGTGGTCCTGGACACGGCCACCGGCACGCGGGGCGCGCTGGGCGCGCTGGGCGCGCGGGGCACGCTGTTGGTGATGTACTTGGTGTAGGGCGACCGCGAGGGCCACTTGGTGGTGACCACTGGTGTGCGGCGCGGGGCTGGCCGCGGGGCGGGCCGCGGTGTCAGGAGAGACAGCCGGGGCGCTGGCCGGGGCACCACGTCGGGGAGCTGGCTCGGCGCCGCCATGCCCGTCGTCACGGCCATGGCCGCGGCGCTGGGGGGCTCCTCCTCGTCGTCGTCCTCCTCGTCAGCGTCCCCGCAGGATGCCAGGCGACCTGCAAGCAGAGGAACCAGGCGGCCGTTAGCCCTGGTGAAGTGCGCCCCGCGGCGTCCGCGACGGTGAGGTTGGCCAGGACCGCGGTGACTCCGGATCAGCTCCTGTGGAGGAAGAAGGGAAAGGGACGAACCTCGACGGCTCGTCCCAACGACATGCTCAAGGTGCACATGCACATGCAAGGCGCAGCGGGTGCAGCGAGGACACAGGAAGCACAGATAGCGATTTTGACATCGCCGCGGAATTGCCCGGCCCTATAAGGGAGGCCGCGTGACACGCGTGACGACGCGGCGCGGCACACGCGGCGTGACGGGACGGTCAGTGACGGCGCACGCCAGGCACGGCAGGCACGCCACATTTGAGGACGGTCTTCCGATGCAATAGTCGCCACGTGCAACAACAGCAACAACAACAACGCGTGACTCAGAGGGACACCTGCATCGCGACTGCAACCGCAGCGCTGCGGGCCGAGCGGACGGCCGGACAGACGTAATTGTGGGACGGAGTCTCGGAGCCTGTGGGCTCATTCCGGGGAGCCGTTTGTCTCCTTCCCACTCAAGGGGAGTGCAGCAACGGCGCGAGAGAGACAGAGCGCGGGCGCATCGATACCGTATCGCTCCAAGGCCGGCGTGGTGCCGCGTACTCGCGGAGCCTGTGGCCAAGTCGAAATGCAGGCGGCGGGTTCGAACCCCGGCCGCGGCGCGCCGACGCCACACGCAGCAGCGCGCCCTGCCGGTGTTTTGAGGCGGTGCAATGATCCCCACCACCGCGGCGGCGTGTGTCGCGAACGCGCCACGCCGGTCGGTGGCGCGCTCCCTCGGCGGAGAGTGGAACTACCACGTCGCTTCCCGCGCCGCGTTTGACGCGCTGCTGCGCTTGGCCGCGATACCGGGACCTTGGCCGCGTGGCCGCCGCCCCGCCGCCCTCTACTGTACAAGCGACACTTTCCCCACGTGGGGCGATTAGGCCCGGGTCGACGAACGCCGAACCCCCGGCGGTGCATAGTTCCGCCATGAGATGAAGGGATTCACTCCTCAGCGACGTCTTGACCCCGACGACGACGTCGACGACGTCACGGCCACGCACTTAGCACCGGCCCGTTACGGCGCGCGTCACGCCGCGCCACGCACTGACAGTGAGTCAACGGCTACCTGACCCGGTCCAGTGGAAATGAATCACATAAACGCTTTTCCCCAGCCGACTTTCCACGGAAATCGCCACCCTGCCATCTCGTTGCGGTCCCGAGGCGATCCTGCGAAACGAGCACGCACTACCGACTGAATCACTTTCGAGCGGGTTTTCTCGCTCTCTCGCTCCGAAGACGCGAAGGCTGTTGACCCGCCGCGGCAAGGCGTCGGACCCACAAAGCAGCAAGCACGGCCACGCGACACAACAAAAGCAGGGAACATGCGAGGGGAGGGGGCAAGAACCTATTTGTATCACACCTGTGCTAACCTGCGAGGTGCGAGGGCTGTGAGATGAAATGATGCCAGGTCCTCCCATTTGCCTCCACCGGTCCCTTCCTCCAGAGGTTTGTTTGGGGGCATACGAGATGAGGTGATGACACTTTTTCGTCACGGAGACAAGATTTTAACAAGTTTAGGGAAATGGGTCGATCTTTATAAAAATGTGCTATTTTATAAAAAGCATGTTTATTTGCAATGAATACGCTGTGCACCTATGTATTACAACCAACATTAAACTTACGTATACGTGTAACTTATTACATCATAAACATGCTTAATTAAGTAGGAAGTAGCATAACAATTATCACCACCTTAGGAACGTGGAGATCACAACAGACAGAAGTCTGCAATCACAATGACATGTCTTTGGAAACTTTTGTTCTCTATAGAACATGGAATGTCCGAAGGAGTTGCACCCGAGTTCCCGCCAAAGACTCGAGTGTACTCCTTTGGAATGATCCTTTGCTAGTATCACAGCATTGTAGCTATTAGATGGCAACAGAAGTAGACTAAAAACTACATACAGAGACTAGCGAAAATTACCACATTTCCTAATGACAAAACGTTTAAACAATTACACAAATTTATATTTTAAAAGAAAAGAAAAGAAAACAAGCCAAACAGTAGGAAAAGGATAGGAAAGGGTTAAGTTCCATGACCAAAGACCAAATGATTAGGTTAAATTGCCATTGACAAAAAAATGCTACTTCTAAAAACACTCAAATGAAATCAAACACAAATACACATCGCAAATGATGAAGCGTGCGAGAGCATCCGTTTAAAAACTGTATCTACACGTAAGCAGGGCCAACAAAAGCCAACGTGCAAAATTTTGGCGACGAAATGTCACGTACAAGATAGATAAATTTTAAGAACAAAAAGTGCCCAAAAGTGCGTAACGTAATTAATGGGCGGCCCCTATGTAATTCCAGAGGGGCACAAAATGACATTATTTGAATTTCTGGCATTCGTAGAAAGGAGAATATTCCAAAAGTAAACGAAAAAATATGACAAGGACGAAAGTGGCTGCAAAGCGAGGAGTATAGAGGAACACAATGGGAGATCCTCCTACAGTAAAAGCGCGATGAATAAGATAATCGAAATGTTGGCATTGTCGAGCAGCACGTATGAAGCTATCATACGCATCCAGAGCCGCTCTAATGGCGTTAGAACGTTCTGGCCAAAAATCAGAACGGTTAAACGAATGCGTGCCGGAAGAATACTGCATAGAGCAGGACTTACTGCTGGTCAAGGTGATCTGCGGCACCTGCAGCTGGTCCAACAGATGCCTCAGCACCTGCAGGAACTGCGAGAAGAGCAGCTGGAGTCTCTCCAGCTGCTCTTCCTCATCGTCCTCGTTAAATGGCACTGCCATTTTCAGCTTTCACACTCTGCTCAGAGTCACTCACAAACACACACAAGACACACACGAGCGCGCGCGGCACGAACTTTTCGCCGAGCGAGTGGAGCGGCGGAGCTACGGCGGGCAGCGCCACGTCGTCCTCGCAGAAGCGTTCCCAACAGAATGAAGTGGAGGGGGACTCTCGCTGCGTGCCGTGCCGTGGAGCCGGCCAGCCGAGCCGAGCAGCGACGATCGGGAGAGCCGAACGTCCCCGAAGGAAGCTCGGCTTCCGACAGCCACCGGAGGGTGACAGGGGTGGGGGCTGCGCCGCGCCGTGGCCTGGAGGGGGTGACAGTGCCACACCGCTTGCCTGTAAAGAAAGCAAACGAGGTATTAGCGGCTGGGCTGGCGCTGGTCTTCTTCGCGACGATGCGGCCGGACTCGAACGAGGTCAAATGGCGCTCACGGAAACTGGAAGTGGAGACGGACATCTCTGTTCACGTATTGTCCGCCCCGTCCCGTGAGACAGTCGCGCTGTAAAGGAGCTGCCCACCTGTGCCGGGCCGCGTCAATGAACCCTCAGGTACACGCAGGTAGACGGCCGGCAAGTTGGAACCTGTTGAGGGGCGGCAGGGCCACTGGCTGCCACTGGCAGGGCCAGCCGCTGCGCTAGGCCTTCTGGTGACCGCAAACGGTACCACAGGGGTGCGAGCATTACCGGCTGGACTCGCGACGCGCCACTCGGGCGACGTGGTGCCGCGTCCACGATTCCGCCGCCCCGCCCCGCCCCACCGCACCACGCCCCGCCCCACCGCACCACGCCCCGCCCCGCCACACCGCGCCTCGGCCACCGAGGCGCGCTACGCGCGACCATCACGCACCGGCAGCGCTGCTCACGCCGCTACGGTCTCTCTCGCACTCTGACGGGGGACGCCTCGCGAGTGCGACAGAGACAGGGCGGTCCTTCGGCGCTCGGCGCGCTCGGGCAGCCGGGCTCTGTGGAGGGCTGCGCGTGTGTGTGTGTGTGTGTGTGTGTGTGTGTGTGTGTGTGTGTGTGTGTGTGTGTGTGGTGTGTGTGTGTGTGTGTGTGTGTGAGAGAGAGAGACCACAGCGAAAGGCGCGCGCGCCTCTGCGTGTGTGCGCGTGCAGCATGCATGTCTGTCTGTGTAAGGGTGCGCGCCTCCAGGGCCGCCCCGTCCCCCCGTCCTCAGCCCAGATTGTCTGCCGCACGATTACACACTCCAGAATCTGAGAAAGGGGGTCCTGGCGGCGTCCTGACCCCGCGAGGCGGCCAAGTGGCCAAGACAGCCCGTGAAGCATCAACAACATACATTGTCGCTTGCTCGACCTACACCGCAACATGAGCCACTTACAACAGTCAATCAAACCACTATCTGCAGCTTGACTGTAGAAGGAAGACTGGCGAAAGGCAGATTGTGATAGGCGGGCCCTTCGGTGGAAACACACAAGCGGACGAAGCGGACAGACACACTCACCTGCCGAAGAGGCCGCATCCAGCACACCGGAAACAAACACACTTCACACCAAACGACTCCGCGCGCACGCAGAGAGCACGCGGTCACACTGACGCGACGCCCGGGCGATCACGAAGGAAAGCAGTCGAATGCAGAACTGGAGTCGAAGGAGTCGCAACAACGCGACTTTAGCGTAAGCCTATCACTCGCGCCTTGGGACCCGTGGGCTAGCACAGGCCCTCCCTCCCCTACTGCCCTGCTTCCCCTCCACGAATGTACAAATGAGTAGAGAGGATGGACACCCCCACCCCCGCCACCTCGCGACATGCGAGCCGTGATCGGGACCGATGGAGGAGAGAGAGGGGAGGGGAGGGGGGCCGCAAGGTGGGGGCCGCCTGCCGGCAGGCAGGGAGTGGCACCCGCCGCTCTCTCTCGCACCCATGCGGCGGCCCGTGTGGGTGCGAGAGAGAGAGAGAGAGAGAGAGAGAGAGAGAGAGAGAGAGAGAGAGAGAGAGAGAGAGAGAGAGAGAGAGAGAGAGAGAGAGAGAGAACGCCCTCCTCGGCGCGTGGAGAAGCTCAGTCGGCCACTTGTCCTTTCTTTCATTTGCCTTTTCCTCTCATTCCGTCTTTCCGCGGTTATTCTTTCTCTCGGATCACTTCTCCCCCCCCCTCCCCTCCCCTCGCCCGGCCGTGTGTCTTACTGCGGCGGGCCCCGAGCTCGGCCGAGCACCGAGTGCCCCCGCCCCCCGCCGACGCCGCGACACCGCCACCGACGCGAGCAGGGCGACGTCACAGCCGGACGCCACCGCGAGCCCACTTCCGCTCGGACCGAACGAGCATCAGGGCGCGAACCCTCTGGAACCCGTGGCATTCCCTCTGGTCGAACCGTGACGCAACCGCGCCCCGCTATCTCTGCCTACGCCACTGTCTGTGCTGCACCCTGCCACGCCACTGTATGCTACGCTCTGCCACGCCACGGCTACGCTGCGAACAGCCCTGGTAATCCTCGTGAACGCGCCAACGGTCACGCCACTGCACGCCGCGCCCTGCTACGCCACGCCACTGCTACTGACCTGGTCAGCTACGCCACTGCCACACGCCCCTTCCGAGAGGGTCGATCTGTCCCTCTCGCACTCGAGACGCCCCGTGAGTGCGAGAGAGACACCCTCCCTCTCGGAATGTGCTTGCCGGCGACTTCCGCTCGAACTGAACAAGCCCAAGGACGCACGCGCCCTCTAAGACGAGTGTCATTCCCTCTGGTCGAAATATGACGCACCGGGCCTCGCAGACAGCGAGACTCCACGCTACAGATAAGATAAACAAGCGCGGACGGATTGCGGCAGGAGCAATAAATTGAAGACACGGACACCCACCTCGTCCTGGACTCTGAGCCAGAGCGCACGCGCTGACACACCGTGATGTTCACCCTTGCGGAGACAGCGGCCGAATAAAAAGTACCGAGGACCAACCCCTCCCCTCCCCGCCTGCTCATAGCCACGCATGGCACGGAGGGGAGGGGAGGGGGGGGGGGGGTACGAAGGCGCTCGACCGATTCCAAGAGGCGTTTTCGTCGCTCTGCCTCTTTCGCACCCATAACGGGACGCCCAATGAGTGCGCGAGAGACAGAGCGACGAAACCGACGCTCGGGATCACTCTGCCGCCCGCCGCGGCGTCGGCAGGGAGGCCCACCGTCTTCGCGTCACCGGCCGCCAGGACGGCGCCGCACCGCCCTGCCTCGCGCCTCGCAGCCGGCACACGGTTAGGGCAGCTGCTGCCCGGTGCAGCGGGGTGGCTCCGACCCCTGCTTGGTTTCGTTGTTCCATCGCTAAGAAGTCGGCAACTGATCGCGCATAGCAAAAGAGGGACGATACGCAACGATTTCGGGCAGCAGGTGCATGCTCCAGCCGCGAGCTCGTGGCAGCGAACACACACACACACACACGTGGGCACAGTTCGCGGTGAAGGGGGCGGGGGTGAGTTGTGGGCCACGTCAGCCCGCTAGGCGGGGGAGGGGGCAAGACATGGCTCAAAGAGCCGGCGGCGTCAAAGTGTAAGATGGGAGCGACCTAAAAAAATACGGGACGCGGCCTGCGTGAACGCGGAGGGTGGGGGATGAGGAAGAGGGGGCCGAGGGGGATGAGCAAGGAATCGTGGGCTGGCGTGTGAACTCGGCGAACCTTGGGGGCACACTGTGGTTGTCGCCACGTGACCCGCGGCCACCTGCGATCGCTTGGCGCCGTCACAGAGTGTCACAGTGCACCGCCAAGGCGTTGTCACATCGCCTCGCGGGGTTCCGACTCCCACTGCCCTTGCCGCTCTCTCTCGCACTCACGGGGCGTCTCCTATCGGTGCGAGAGAGACAGAGCGACGAAAAGGACTCTCAGTCCGCGGGCCCGCATCTCCCGCATCAATCGCGACCGGCGGGATTCCGATGGCTTTCGTCGCTCTGTCTCTCTCGCACTCGAGACAGAGCCGCGACACACTGAGTGGAATCGGCGCAGATTCCTGACCGGCACGGTGAGTACACTGTGAATGCAGCGGCGCGCGACGCCATGCGACGCCGGTGTGCCACGGGGGCTGGGTGGCTTTGGGTCAGGCGGGCTGTGACCGCGGCTGCGGCGCGCGCCCTGAGCCGAGCCGGCGACCGGCACACGCCACGCCGTGACACGACTGTGACACGACTGTGCCACGACCGTGCCACGACTGTGTCGCGCCGCCCGCCCGCCTGCTTCCAACGGACCGCTTCACCGCTCTGTCTCTCTCGCACCCGTGCGGGTCGCCCCGTGAGGGCGAGAGAGACAGAGCGGCGATGTGATTCATCGGAACCATGGGAACCAGGCGTGTGCCAAAGTGACCCGCGCCGCGGGCAGAAGCAACGCGTCGTGAGAACTTCGCCGGCCGGATGAACGCGACACCAGGAGACCCAACGCACAAGTCTCAACGCACAAGTCTCAACGCACAAGTCTCAACACACTGACATACCTCAGGGGCTCGTGGAGTGATGCAGGATTGAGTCGGGAGCGAGGTGGTTGGTGTTTACACTATCAAACGCAAACTCCGACTGAGGGCGAGGGCTCTGCCTGCGCCGCCGACCCGGCCGCCGTTCGGCCCGCCCGCCCCGCCGGGGGGCTTGCCACGGCCCGGCGGAGCGGAGAGCGTCGCGGACGAGGGCAAGGGGGGAGAGGAGGCATGGCGTGGCGCGGGCGCGGCGTGCGCGGAGACGCGTGCGCGGTGGTGGCGGGCAAGGAATGCGCGCGGGACACCCGTGCTTAGGCTGCCCTAGGCTGCCCCTAGGCTGCCCCTAGGCTGCCCCTAGGCTGTCCTCAGGCTGCCCTCAGGCTGCCCTCAGGCTGCCCTCAGGCTGCCCTCAGGCTGCCCTCAGGCTGCCCTCAGGCTGCCCTCAGGCTGCCCTCAGGCTGCCCTCAGGCTGCCCTCAGGCTGCCCTCAGGCCTGCCCTCAGGCTGCCCTCAGGCTGCCCTCAGGCTGCCCTCAGGCTGCCCTCAGGCTGCCCTCAGGCTGCCCTCAGGCTGCCCTCAGGCTGCCCTCAGGCTGCCCTCAGGCTGCCCTCAGGCTGCCCTCAGGCTGCCCTCAGGCTGCCCTCAGGCTGCCCTCAGGCTGCCCTCAGGCTGCCAAGTCGGTGTTCGAAGCGCGAAGCGAAACAGAACCTGCTGTCCCAACAGTTGGTGGCGGGTGGGCCATCCTGCACTGTCGGCCGCAGGGACCAGCTTTCAATAAGACGCGACGATCAGGTTCAACTTCCTGCGTCTCTCTCACGCACAGCCTCACGCTCATGCTAGAGAGAGACAGCGCGGGCCGGCGCGCTGCAGCGCCCGGTGGGTGACCCCCACCACCTCCTCTAGCCGGCCGGCGTGCGCGTGGCAGCGGCGCGGCTCGAGGCGTCGCGGTAAGCCACTTACTTACCACTTACCACACGTATCAATACACTAAACACCAATAGAGCGGCCCGCCGACGTGAACAGAGGCGCGACCGCCGCAGAATTCAGCAGCGAAGCGAGGCAACCGACGGTCCGGCGGCGGAAACAAGAAGGGTTTCCAGTGGCGTCGTCGTCGGAACACGAATCTAATTTACTAACCTCGGCGCGCTCGGGCGCAGAGAGACGAACGGGATCGGCGGACTCAAGGCCACGACGCGTCGATTCGGAAAACCGAGTAAAGACCGTCCCGAACTTGGAGGCAGCGGGCTCGGCACCCACACTGGCGACAAAGTCGGCACTGGTGTTCACTCCATGAATGGTAGCGTCCAACTGAAAGAAAGGCCAGCCGGGACTGCGACACTGGCAGGGCCGGCAGGTGAGGCCAGGATGCGCCCGCCCGGCGACCAATGGGCTAATCGCGACGGTCTATTCACTTCCCCTTCCACGCCTTTCCTCCTTCTAGCTGCCGGACCCCACCCGATTCCGGCTGTGCAGTGGTACCTACCGTCGGCTGATGTCTCTCTCCGCCGCGAGGCTCGCGAGGCGTGCGAGAGAGAGAGAGAGAGAGAGAGAGAGAGAGAGAGAGAGAGAGAGAGAGAGAGAGAGAGAGAGAGAGAGAGAGAGAGAGAGAGAGAGAGAGAGAGAGAGAGAGAGAGAGAGAGAGAGAGAGAGAGGGAGAGAGAGAGAGAGAGAGAGAGAGAGAGAGAGAGAGAGAGAGAGAGAGGCGTTGAACGCACTGTTCGGCTGTGCGTCGCAGTCGTCGCATTCCTGGGGTCCAGGGCGCTGGCGGGCGCTGCCGAGCGCCGCCAGCTCTCCTCGCTCTGTCTCTCTCTCACTCCCCTTCCCCTACGGTCCACTCCGTGAGAGCGAGAGAGAAAGTGACTAGTGCGGGCAGCGGATGCGCCCGACTGCCGCGACACTTGGCTACGTCGCAAGGCCCTGGAGGAGTTTTGAACCTCATGACACGTGGCTGCGTGGGTGTGGGTATTGCGCAACCTCTGTGAAGATGTCGTGGCCACTGTAACCGTGCTCTACTCACTCGGCCGATGCGAGGCCATGCACCGCCGAGGCAGGCAGGAGCAAGTGGCTGCGAGGCTGAAGGTGTTTGTGTTTACGCCGCCTGGCTTGCCTGGCTTCGATTCTGACTCAGTTTAGCGACCGGCCCGGCGCGCGCACACACACCCGCTCCCCTCACTCACAGACACACACACGCACACGCACCTCCAGCTCGTGCGGGCTACCGACCCGTGACAGTGTTGCACCCAGCTATGTCGCATATGGACGCCCCCTTGCAGCCGGGGTCCATGGCCTGCCCGACGGCTGCAGTGAATTCCACCGCCGCACAGTGGGTCCATTGGTGAGGTCACACGTTTGGTTTGAGTCTCTTTAGCGACTCTGGAGCTCAAAACGCGTCTAAGATTTTGGCCGCTCCACCGGTCTCCCGGCCCACTGTGCACTGGCAGCACTGGCAGCGGCTCTTGGCCTTTTCTGTCTTTCCATGGGCCTACCGTGGGGCCCGCCACGGCGCCTTGCCGCCCTGCCGTCGCGCCCGGCCGTCGCGCCGACGCGCCACGCCGCCGCCTCGCCGCCGCCTCGCCGCCGCCACGCCGAACGAGCGAGAAGCAGTGCAGTATAGCACAACGCAGAGTAACAGGTCCATGGCACGACGCAGAGTAACAGTTCCATGCATACGAGCTTTACCGTGCCTCGCCATCGGTCCCTCCCCCTCTCCCCCCTCGCTCGCCGTGCGCGCTGCAACCCCCCTCCCCCTCCCCCGCCTCGCCCCGCTCTCCCTGCTCCTGTCCTCTTGTCTCCACAGCACGGCGGGCCCCTCGTCCAAAACACTGTCAATTTTGATAACAAAGAAAGAATACCTGCGAAGGGCGAGAGGTGGTCCCAATAAAGATGCCTGTAGAGGCGTCGAAGCGAGCCGCCCAGCCGCCAGAGACTTGTTACACTAATTTATGTAGGACTCGGAGGGATGAGGCGGGCTGTGAAAATAGTTGGCGCTTCGCGCTCTAAAGGACCGACGCGGGGTCGCTTGCTGCGGTCGGCGGCGTTTTAGCGATTGTTGAGCTGGTTATGGATTTATTGAGGGCACTTTCCTGTAGAGCCACGCTTTCAGCGCTGGTCTACATATAGTTAGTTAGCGAGATGCGTAGACGATTCAAGTTTGCCGCGCCGGCCACGCCGCAGGGTGGCCAACGAAGAGGGCGCGTTGGCAGCATTGTAGCGCTGCCAGGTAGGAGGCCGCGGCTGCCATTGTGAGTGCAGCGCGGCGAGCCGATGCAGACGACACCCACGCCAAGGGGAATCACACATGATTTCGGCCGATCTCGATTCGGGTCAGCCGAAGTCACCCGAAGGGCCTGGCCGAACGGTCAAGGGCCCGGCGAGCCCGGCGAGCCGCCGAGACCGGCGAGCCGCCGAGGCCGGAGGGGTGCGTCGCAAAGGTATAAATTAAGCCGCATCTCTGCTCCAGCATCATTCGGGGACTCACGAGTCTCCAGGGCTGACCACCCGAACCCAGGCAGGAATAAAGCCAGGACTCTGAAGGTGTGTTCTCTCTCCAAACGCTCAGACCCGACCCGAGCTCCGGAGCCAGCCTAGAAGCCACGGTGGGGCTTGCCGGCCAAGGCCAGCCTGCGCGATAGGGTAAAGCCATAGTGCCACGGACCCTCGGTCCGAGTGCGTATTGGCGATCCTGCGCTAGGCCAACCTAAGGCCCAAAGCCTCGCCAGTGGATGGGGCGAACTCCGCTGCAAAGGACACGCTAAAAACTAGTACAGAAAGGTAGGCCTACGAGCTGCGGACGCATGTCCCGGGCCAGGGCCAGCCTAAGCGCGTGACCCCGGAAATCGGGTCACGACATACTGGTGGCAGCGGTGGGATCTGAGCATTGAGGGGGAAAACTACTTTCCTGTTTTGGGGCCTACTTTTCCTGTTTTGGGCAGCCGAGTATTCGATGGTAAAACATATCGCGCGCGTGTTCGTGTTTTACGTGTCAAGTCAGTGAGTGAAAAATTTCAGAGTGTCAGACTGTCATTGTGTCTTGAAGCGATCGGCATGGCGGCGACGGGCGTGCCCTTTTGAAAAACCGTGATGTTCCTGCTCTTGGCGGCTTTCCCGGGGCGGCTTTGCTGACGCTGCTCCGCTGGACTAGGGCGCTGGACGACGCACTGCAGGGCCCTCCCCAACGCCGCTACTGGTGCTGCTGCAGGCGTCCAGGCACCCGAAACCGCAGCCAGACTCCACCACGCAGACCTGGGAGGCATCCAACCCGCCGGCGCAGCAGGACCGGGCGTTTGGACAGCCAGGCCCCACCAAGAGGCCCAGTGGACCACCAAGACCCCGCAACAGCCGCCGCTCCCCGGGGGGGAGCTTTTTTAAGGCTAAAGTTTTGTCAGAAAAAGTGATTCACGCCGCGCGGACAGTCTGTGAGTGAAGTGTGTTGATTTGTCAAGGTGTTAGTGTAGGCTAGTGAGACAGTTGGTGCTGTGACTATGAGTGTTATTCGGGAGCGCTGAAAAAAGAGTCCTTTTGGTTGGGGCCGTGCACGCGGGCCCAGGGTGTCGTTGCGCGCCACCGGGCGTTCACGTGTTAGCTTGGGCTGGCCAGCATCGACCTGCATCATGCGATCGATGTGGTGGATGCCTCGGCATCTGTGCCGAGTGGACCCCCCAGCGCGCGGAATCACCGTCGTGACTAAAAAGGATGCACAGCGGCGCGACCGCAGCCCGGGCTGGCCAAGTCGGGCCAGGTACGCCACCCCCCTTTTCCCGGGGCCAGGTGTGTCACCCTCGCGCGTTTGTGCAGAGGAGCAGAGACGCCTGCAACTATGACGCGCTAGAGGAGCGCGCGGACGGGGCAACTTGTTTCCGACAGTGTACCCGAAACTTGTCCCGGCGAATAAAATAGGCGAAAAATAATTACATGGAGAAAAGCATTACATACGTGTAAATTATCGGCGAAAATGTTATAAATATTTAAGGCGTGGGCGTTGCATTACAAAATTACAATTGTCTGAGGCATGAGGCGTTTCATTACAAAATCTATAATTGTTTAAGGCGTAAGGCGTTGAATACAAAAAATTTATACTGGCGAAGAATGATATCGAAGACT